TTCTCAACCGGGCTCCTTTCCCCGACCCTCCCACAGATGAGCCGACGAGCCCCGGCGCAGATTTACGCGCCCGTCACGTGCCAGCGTCCTCGGTGGTGTCCAGCGGCATGAATTCTGCGCCCGCCGTGGTTACCAACCCCGCCTCCCCCACCTTCACCTTTCCCCTCACTAGGCTCTTCTCACACGACTGCAGTGAGTGCCCCCCCCCTCCCTCCCCACTGCATGCAGCTGAAAAGTATCTTGATTGTGGTTGATGCTCCCTCTTTATACAAGAGAGGAATTTATCATGCATGGGATTTGAAAACCCTCCTGGTTCGTTGTTGTCCTGAATTATATCTTTTTAAGTATTTTTGCCTTTTACTGAGTCTTAAAAGTAGTTTTTACTCAAATGAAATGGAAACATTCACCAATTTCTACCAGATTCAAATTTAAATGGTTTTCTTTCTCCACATTTTTTTATCATTCTACCAATAAGGCTGTTTTCCTTCATCATACTGATTCTAATCCCTACACAAATCTTTAATCGTTGGGAGATTTTCTTTAGAAATGTGTTGTAATAATATAATTGGACTTCAAATCAAGACTTTCAAGGCTCAATAACAGACAAAGCTCTTTGCAAAGATGAGGTTTTGTAACATATGTGCATGCTCTTTTTGTAGATTGCATGTTGGAATGGACTCAAAGAAAAACATACCGTCTGTTCAGGTGTGTTTGGTTGTGCATGAAGCTGACGGTTTAGAATACAAATGGCTGTTGGGTCAAATTTGACAAATGTAGACGACGTGCATGATACGTTTCTTGAAACAGATGCATGTCAGTCTGGGTTGACAGAGGCTACACCTGCATGCCAGTGGTGAGAAAAAGTACCGGAGTTTAATTTAATTGAATCCAACCCACGAGCCCAGCTCATCTCCCCACGTCCATCCTAACCACGCCACTCAAACTCCCACCCCCTCCTCCACCTCCTCCTGCTTCACCCCTCTCCTAATCCAACACCCTCCCCTCCGGTGATTGGCATTACATCAACATTCTGTCTTTCTGTCTGTCTCTTTCTCTTTGTTTCTCTTTCTCTCTCTGCTCATTCATCCTCTCATCGAGCAGGCAGTATTAAATCCGGTCGCCGTTCCTCCTATCTTCTAGCCATCACCACGGAGCGCTCCAAGTCATGTGACGAAGGACTCAACACGTTCAGAGAGGAAGGCCGAGTCTTCTCGTGAGTAGTCAAACTGGCTGTTGATAGATTAAAGCAAGCATTTTTATTTCATATTTCTTTGCAGGCAGACAAGTTGAAAGTTAACACTCAGTTGTGTTGTTGCGCTTCACAGGAGGCTACCAAAGAGAGTGAAGAGCTTCTTCACCGACGGGGTGAGTTCTTCTTCTTCTTCCCTTTCTCACTGCTTTACTTGTGCAGGTTCAAGGTTACTGCTTCGTTAAATCACAATCCTATTACCATTCTGAAAGTCATATATGATGGCTTTTTTCTGCTATTGAAATGTCTCTAAAATGTCCCTGGTTTTGTTTCAGTCTCTGGACAACCTTGGGACAGCTGAGGAGGTTCGATCTAAACGCCACTCCACCTCAGAGCTAGGAAACATAATCTACAGCGACGTACGACAAGAAGGATGGCTGCACTTCAAACAAATCCTCACAGAGAAGGGCAAGGTGGGCACCCCAGGCCTGATGACAACACACCTGAAGGCAGAACAGCATTCAAAGCTATCACTCACATTTCATCTTTCCTCCACAGAAGGTTGGCAGCGGCATGCGTCCGTGGAAAAGAGTCTTTTCTGTGCTGCGCTCCCATTCGCTGTTCCTCTACAAGGACAAGAGGGAGGCGGTGCTCCGCGGGGCCACCATTGGCGGAGCGGCCGAGGATGAGCAGCCAATCAGCATCCGGGGCTGCCTGGTGGACATTGCGTACAGCGAAACCAAGCGGAAGCACGCCCTGCGGCTGACCACTCAGGACTTCTGCGAGTACCTGCTGCAGGCGGAAGACCGGGAGGACATGCTGGAATGGATCAAGGTCATCAGGGAGAACAGCAAGACGGACAACGAGGTCAGAGGACGCACCTTCACCTGTCGGACTGTAACCTCTGCTGTGTGTTGTTCTAACACCACTGTGTTTGTTTGTTGCAGGAGCTCGGCTTCTCCAGGCAGGCCCTCATCAACAAGAAGCTGAATGACTACAGGAAACAGAGGTGAGTCACCTAATGATACATTTGTAAACTGAACCTATTGAAGCTGCTTTTACCACCGCACTCATCTGTTGTCATGCCTGACAGCTGGAGTTAAACCCGTCTCTCTGTCTCCCTCTGCAGTCCAACAGGCAGCAAGCCCGACTCCTCTCCCAGGATGCATCGCATGAAGCCTCCCTTCATGCACACCAAGGCAGAAAACGCTGCCGGGGCGCCACGCTCTCCCAAACCAGAGGGCAAAGGTCAGTGTAAGGGAAAGACTAATTAAACATAACGGCAGTGTGCTCCTACCACTCATTGTGCGAAAATACAACGGTTAAATATCAATAATAAATCAATTAATTAAGAGGGAGCTGACTTTTTAATCATTCACGAGTTGGAAACAATTATGGTAGCACAGCGCAGGGTAATTCTTGTACAACTAAAGTCTTAAATAATAAGTATACATTGTCACTCCACTCCAGGACCTCTGACTTACAGCCAAAGTTCAGCAGTGATAAGGTGTCCTTTTATATATTTTTTAGTAGGACTAAAAATTAACATCCCACCAAATATCTTTCTTTTTGATGCAACCTATTTTCCTTTCAATTGTATTCTTTGAAATTACTTCACTTGTTTTCTAGAAATTATGCATTTTACATTACAATCTTTCTGCATGTAGGTATTACCTCAAATCAGTTTATGTCATCCCTTATTCCTTTTCAGCAACACTTATGCAGCTGTAAGACTAGTCTTTTTTCTTAAAGGAGACATGTCATGGCCATTTCCACTGATCATAATTCCATTGTTGAGGTCTACTAGAATAGATTTATATTGTGCAATTTTCCAAACTCACATTGGTTTCTCAAACAGCATCTCTGTAAACTACGTGTATTCACTGAATTTCACTCTCTGCCTTTAACGGCTCGTTGTAGCTCAAATAGCTCCAGCCCCCACCCTCCCTGTGAGCACAGTGTGCTCTGATTGGTCGGGACGTTGTGAATCGCGCTGAGCTCCGTGGAGGTGTTGTTTCCTTGTTTAGCAATACACAGCGAAACACAGCCAAACTCACCCTGAGCACACACAAAGTCAAGTAAAAACAATAAGTGTGGTTTGATATTGAGTAAGAAAAAGGTTGATAAACGCTGTGAGAATCGGTCTGCAGAGAGAATTTTGCCGCGATCCCAACTGTCTGTTATCAGCCTGCAGCCAGGGAGGAGAGATCAGCAGAGCTGTCTGCACTGAGTGTGTGTGTGTGAAAAAGTCCGTGGATTGGTCAATTTGGACCAATTAGCGGGGGCTTAACGTAACGGCTCCGCGAACGTAACGGCTCCACGGATTGGTCCATTTAGTTCCGGGTACGTGCTTACGTAATCTCGTACCCGGAAGAATCAATGGACAGTGACTTATCTCCAACGAGGCGTTTTGGGGAGGTATTTTCTGTGTTAGAGTTTTACTCGCTACAGGGTGTACTTTGAGGGTTTTGACTCTGCAGACCGTTTACATGCATAAAAACCTTCATAACACACAAGGGGACGGGTAATAACCGGAAAAGCATGACATGGGACCTTTAAGTAATGGGTGCACCAAGAAGCAAATGCGGAGGCCTCATGTGACGCAGCTAAAGTTTTTGTTGACCTGTCTTTAGATGAGAGCGGCCCTCCGAAGTCTCCATGGAGCATCAACATCATGAAGAAGACGAAGAAATCTGGCCCTAAAGCTTTTGGTGTGCGCTTGGAGGATTGTCAGCCAGGTGTAAATAACAAGGTTAGCCTGAAAATCATCCTTCATACCTGAAAGTAAGAAAACAGACTTTCTAAATAAGGTTGTCAATGGGATTAAAACCTGTGTGTTTCAATCCCAGTTCATCCCGTTGATTGTGGAGATCTGCTGTGGGCTGGTGGAGGAGATGGGTCTGGAGTACACGGGGATCTACAGAGTCCCCGGGAACAACGCCATGGTGTCAAGTCTTCAGGATCAGCTCAACAAGGGCGTCGAAATCAACCCTGCAGAGGAGGTGAGGAAATACTAATACATCTAAATGCTACTTAAAATATAAACTGCTAAAGTGACAGTTTTCATTTAACTTTACTCAACAAAGCTGAAGCATTAGATAGTTGACCATCTCTTTCTTTTGCTGTCAACAGAAGTGGCAAGACCTCAATGTTGTCAGCAGTTTACTCAAATCCTTCTTCAGGAAACTTCCAGAGCCGCTCTTCACCAACGGTGAGTCCTAACATGTCTCAACGAGCCGTCCAAACACATACCTGCAACAGCCAGGCATTCATATCAAACCTTTACTTGTATTCTAATATTTAAACTTACTTTACAGACAAGTACAATGACTTCATCGACGCAAATCGGATAGACAGTGCATCAGTGAGGCTAAAAACCATGAATAAACTGGTAAGTATTTGTCTGTGTTCATGAACAGGATAACTGACGTGTGTGTGTGTGTGTGTGTGTGTGTGTGTGTGTGTGTGTGTGTGTGTGTGTGTGTGTGTGTGTGTGTGTGTGTGTGTGTGTGTGTGTGTGTGTGTGTGTGTGTGTGTGTGTGTGTGTGTGTGTGTGTGTGTGTGTGTGTGTGTGTCAGAAGTCTGGCAGGTTGAACAGGCTCATCACTATTGTCATTCCTCGTGTTTGTCATTCGCAGATCAGAGACCTGCCCGATTATTATTACGACACTCTGAAGTTCCTGGTTGTTCACCTGAAGACTGTAGCCGACAGCTCAGATAAAAACAAGGTGTGTGAGATGTCGGTGTTTTTGGGCCATTGTAGGTCAGAAACTAAAATACCTGGGGGGTGGGTAGTTATCTGAAGAAACGTTGAGCTTTCCTGAGGATAAAATGTTTAATTTACAAGAGAGAAAGTGGTAGGTTTACGAGAACAAAAGAGACAAATGTACTAGAATAAACATTCATTTGAGTTATTTTGTAAAAGAAACCACATCCCAAACATTTCATGGCAATCCTTATTTATATTTTATTCTCTGAGTTTTTTTTACTGTAAATATGTATCTTCCATATCAGAGAATTTCTGAGTTTAGTCTTTTCAATTTACAATCACATTTTGTATGCAGATTTACAACTTTTGACTTTATTCACTCTATTTTCATAAATTTCAAATATATAACCCTCTTCTTCCAACTGTAATAAAAAAAAAAAGTCACTTAATGACCCTGTCACACTGTTGTAAGAAAGAGGGCTTTTGAAATGTAATTTAAACGTATCGCTGTGATGTCCTTGGTATTAACATTTTATCTTGGCGTAGATGGAGCCCCGTAACCTGGCTCTGGTGTTCGGGCCGACTCTGGTCCGGACGTCTGAGGACAACATGAAGGACATGGTCACACACATGCCCGATCGCTACAAGATAGTCGAGACGCTCATCCAACATGTGAGACCTGCAACAAAACAACACACACACACACACACACACACACACACACACACACACACACACACACACACACACACACACACACACACACACACACACACACAAATAACCAGTTATCATTTTCATGCTAAATATTTCTGTCTGTGTCATTTTTAAAGTGCAACTGGTTTTTCGCTGAGGAGCAAGACGAGGATGAAAAGGTATGCATCCCATAATGTTTCTTTATATTTGCAGATTAAAGGTCTTAATAGAATAATATAAAGACTCAGTTTAGGATGTACAGTAGCTCTGAAAACCTGTAAGTAATGTGCAGTGTTTTATGTGCCACTTAATTATCTGAGAAAGGTTTCAAGTTGGTGTGAAATAACTGAGTAAAAGCTCAAACTATTTGAAGATTCTGTCACGAGTTATGAAATATAAGTAAACTCTCCTCATATTCTACTGCTGCAAACCGCTTTATTTTCTCTTGTTTTAAGATGAGGACTTTAACAAAGTCTTATAAATATTAATATAACAAAATACATTGCATCCACAAGAAAACTTGCCACAGTTACATATTCTTTCCTCATGTTTAAAGGAAAACAATTCTTGAATCTGAGATAAAATGACTGTTGTAGTTTAAGGACACCACTATAACTCAACTATTTACAGTTCATTTAAAATGTTTTTTTAACGTTAGTGCTGTTTAATAAAACCAATAAGTCACTCTGTTGTTGACACATAACCAACGTGGCTTTACATTTTAATTGCTGTTTTAAATTTGTGGTTGAGAGCATAGACAAAATATTGCTGACATCAAAATCTGTATCTGTAAACATATCATATCTTTTAGGACCTCAGTTCCCTTCCCTGCACACTGTAAAAGTGATCTGCTTAAATCCTCTGTAAGTAATCATTTTCTTTCTTTCTCTTCCATCCAGACGCCGGTGGACACGCAAGACGTGCAGCCCGCCCCCAACATCGACCACCTGCTGTCCAACATCGGCAGGACGTGTCTGCTCGGGGAGGCGTCAGGTGAGCGCTGCTAACTGCTCTTAGTCAACAAGCGTACAACTTACAACAAACCGTCCAATAGCATTGTGGGCAGTTATAATCAAAAGTATTGCTGCTTTCAGTTTATAGCTGTAAGTAGGGAATTTCCCAGTAGTGTGCCATTATTACAACCTTTGGCTCCAGTGAGAGAAAACAACTGTCAGATCTTATTTATTCTGAATTGAGACCACTGAAGATAGAACTCTTTAAAAAAAACCTGTTTAAAAAGAAGTTATCTCTATTGTCGACATGTTGGCCTGGCTTGAGAATTCTAGAGCCTCCTTGGAAGATTGTCCAAGTTTAAACCCAGAATTCCCTTCTTTTGGACAGAACTTGAAGGCAGCATGAGCAACAGAAGTCTTAGACCTGTTAGCCCTCGTAGTGTTCTTGTGTTTAATAGTGTGCCTACACTCTCTTCTCTCTGCTGACCTCTTTTTTTCCAACACGTTGCTCACCTTTCACTTTCTCTGTACGTTTCTGCATTTCCTTCTCTTAGCTGAGCCTGTGGAGCAGCCACTGCGGTAGGATGGGAAACCCCCTGGCAATGTGTGTGTGTGTCTGTGTGTGCGTGCGTGTGCAATCAATCCGTGCCTCATTGTGAAAGTGAAATAATGTGTGTTTGTTTTGGTGAGAGAGACTGTGAGTGTTGGTGATAGTGTGTGTCTCCATGGTCTCCGTTACCCTCCTTAAAGTCAGCGTCTCCTCTCAGGCTCTGTAAGAACACGCCACTTCAGTCTGACTAATGAATTAACAGCTGACTGGATGCTCTCCGTCTCTTAAAGCTGCTGTATCTGACACTGGAGTGTAAACGGTGGTCTGTTACTGAGAGACCACCCCCTCACTATGGATCCTGTAGTCAAGCACTGCACTCCACTCACATTTCAGTCCGATCATCAGGCTGCTAACACACGCTGAGCTCCAAAGGGACTCTAATCCAACCCAACTTTATTTATATAGCACTTTAAAAACTTTGAGACCAAAGTGCTGTACAGAGAGATAAGCTCTCAAAACATAAAATAAATACATTTAAAATAAAAGATACAAACACAAAACAAACCAGATTAAACGTAATGATTAAAAATTAAAAATAAAAAATAAAATAAAACAGCCATATAATAAAAACAATAGACCACTGAAAGCAACAATCTACTTGTTTCCGAATGCTAAGGAGAAGAGGTGGGTTTTAAGACGGGATTTAAAAACAGACAGTGTGGGAGCCTGTCTGATTAGCAAGGGCAGGTCGTTCCACAGTTTAGGGGTGGCCGCAGAGAAAGCACGGTCCCCTCTGCGCTTAGACTTCGTTTTTGGCACCCTCAGGAGCAACTGATCAGCTGACCTGAGAGTGCGAGTTGGCGTGTAGCTGTGTAACAGCTCAGAGAGGTAGGGCGGGGCCAGGCCATTGAGGGCTTTAAAAGTAAATAAAATAGTTTTAAGCTGAATCCTCTAGGTGGCGCCAATTCCTAGCCTGAATGACATCAAACTTCCTTCATGTTTTTTTATTACTTTTGAATTTCCAATAAAGTTTAGGTTCAAATGAATATTAAAAGTAGCTCACTTGTGATGTCTGCAAAGAAGAAGTCAATTATATTTAATCAGCCAAAGATCCCGAGCAAATATATGCCTGAAAGTGCTTGACAATATCAATTTGTATTTTACATTTTTTGGTATGGCACTTTATCAAAAAGTGGTTGAATACAATAAAACCCAAAAGCAGCAACAATATATAATATAAAAATCAAGGGGTATATATTATGTAAACAGATGTAATTAACCTACCGACAAACAGAGATATCATTTAGATCAGATCACAAGAAAAATATAAAAATAGGATTTAAGGGGTATACAGGAGAAACACTGGTAAAGAAAACCTCACTGATTCACAGTAAAGCTGAACGGTTTATCAGAATATGGGCTAGGGCAAAATCCAAATACCAGAGGGTGCAAAATAACGATTAAAATGTATCAACTGTCATTGTTAGTACATGAGGAACCAATCTAGAGCCTCTTAAACTCCAAACATGTTCTAATCATGCACTTAGTGAAAGAAAACAGCTTTTATCCTGTGTTGCTGTGTCTGTGAGGGAATGTGTGCCAAAATGATTTCTGCCATCACGCCTCCAATCTCTGCCTTCTGTCACTGATTGATTGTCATCAGTGTGATTTTGGTGTTGTCATCGGTGTGTGCCGTGGTTTCCTAATGCCTCCAACACCAAACCCTGCTTCCCCAATCATTGTTTCTCCTTCACAAGTCTACATGTGTGTCTTGGTGTCAGTCATGATCGGAGGGCACAGAGGAAAATGAAGAGAGGAATTCATCTTTTAATTTATATTTTTTGCAATCAGGGAAGGGGAAAAAATACTGAGACTTTCAAGCATGTTCTGATGTCACAGCAGGTGCTCTCCTATTAACAGCTGATGAGAAACACCTGCTGCTACATCAACAATGAAATCGTGCAGAAGCAGTTCCCTTTGATTTGTGATGTATTCTATACACCACCTGCCTCTGTGCCCTCCTGCATGATTTGCCTTTAGTAAACTTCAATGGTTCTGACCTATTTTTATTTCGTCCCCAGACTCAACCAACAGTGACTCAGCGAAATCTAAGGTAATGTCTTTTACATTATGTTATGCTGAAAAGTTAGATCCTGTAAAAATGAAACCTACATGAAAATAAGTCTTTTTTTAATGTTGAAATACACATAATAAGTGGTCATTAATATAATAAGTATGATTATATTGTATTTATTTGTATTGCCTTCCCATTGATGCCATAGTTGTTAAGCATATACCAGTATTGAGAACATGTAGTGTTATGCATCAACGTGTCACGGTAACCTTTTTATTAATTTTTTTCAGGGGTCGTGGGGGTCAAAGAAAGACATCACATCCAAGGACTTCCTGGCTCTGTCCATCATGTCAGCTGTGACGGGCCGCAAACGCAGGAAGCGCCATAACGCCCGCCGTGTGGGCAGCAGCACTGACGACGACTCGGAGCACGAGCCAATCAAAGCCGGACATTTAGTGGCAGGGGGGGAAGAGGGGGCGGGCTTGCCGGAAGGAGACACTGCGCCTCGAGCAGAGGGAGAGGAGGACGACGATGAAGAGGAAGAGGAAGAAGAGGAAGACCAGGAAGTTGTAGAAAGCGGAGTGAAAGAGGTGGTAGGAGAGCAGGTGGTGACGGTTGATCCCGGCCGGACGTGCAGTAAAGAGGAAGAGGAAGAGGAGGCAGGAGGAAGGCCGGCAGCCACGTTGCTGCAAGAGGAGGAGGAGGTGCGGGTGGAGGTGAAGGGGCCGCCGTGGAGATCTCCAGAGGACGCTCGCTCTATTGTTTCCGGTTATTCCACCCTCTCCACGTTGGGGCGGAGCCTGGGATCCGAGGGGAGGGGGGGCGATGCTGATGACGAGCACAGCGAGCTGGTGAGCGAGACGGACAACGAGAGCGGCTTCGCCTCGCGCTCCCTCACCCAGGAGAGACCTGAGAAACACCCGACACCACCCGTGAACACACAGGCGGCCCCCCGCAGCTTCCTCTACACCCACTACAAGGCCCCTGCCCTCTCACCCACAAACCTGCTGGCCCCGCCCACAGCGCTCACACACACGCCAGACTCTGCAGACAGGAGTGAGGGAGGGGCGCTGTCCACCACACCTTCGTCCTCCTCCTTCTCCTCCTCCTCCACCACCACTCACAGACTGCACTCGCGGCCTTCCTTCAACTCCCACAAGCTGATCCAGTGCGACACCCTGGCCAGGAAGAAGCTGAAGTCTGAGAAGGGGAAGGCTCGGTCCCTGGACCTGCTGGAGCTGCAGGCCGCCGCGGCCGAGGCCCACGCTGCTGGCTCTGGGTCAGATGGTACGTCCAGAGCGAGGAGGGAGACCTCCAGAACTAACCCCTCCTCCGGCAGCAGTCAGGAGAGCCTGCACCCAGCCCGGCTCAAACCCTCCCTGCCCCCCAGCGAGGCCTCCTCCTTCACCCCCACCGGCCCTGGGGGAAGGTCTCTGGCGGATCAGGTCCGCGCCCGCCTGCTGGGCTCGGCCGACGACCTGCGCAGCGTGGGACTGAGGAAACCACTTTCACCAGAGACCAGGAGGAAGAGGAGGGCCTGGCGCAGACACACGGTGGTGGCCTCCCCAACAGAGATCTCTGAGAAGAGACCCCCGCTGACCGTCAGTGACTTCCCCCTGTCCCCCATCATTCAGAACCAGGTGAAACCACTGCCTCGGGACGCAGAGGGGCTTGAACAAGAACCGGCTACACGTCAAGCCCCCACCTCCAGATTCCACCAGTACCTGTGAGCCCCTTTAGCCGAGCCGCTGTCTGCAGGTCAGTAGGCCTGCAGCAGCGTCAACACGGTTGTGGTTGATTGCCAGGTGCAACACAGTGTACCAATGAAGAGCAGCCCACCTTTTTATTTTCCATTAGCTCCATTTGCATGGCGAGGGGCATTCCAGTGTTGCCAAAGCTTTTCTTTCCATATGTGTGCTTTTATAGAAATAAAACGGAAACAGACCTCACCATAATCACTGTTACAGCCAAGAATTCCCATAATAGTAATGACCAGTCATCCTTCCCCTCTTCTCTGGCGTACTTCTAAAAAGACATACATTCATTAAAATCCAAGTGGACGCTGAAAATGCAACGTCCCACTGGTTATTGAGAAAATTATGCTTCTGCTCAAAGAAGGGTTTAACAGTAACTGTTACAAAATCTTCTCTGAACCGACTTCAGTGAGCCATACGAAACAGCCTCACACCTCTAATTACAGAAAAGGTAATTGGTTGTTTAAAAAGCATTTCAAGAGGGAAGTCAAATGATTTTTTTATATCAGTTTTTGTATTTTGTGTCTCCTCAGACCACGGACACTGTAAGACATTTATATTCCAAACAACAGACATAGTCGGACACAAACACACTCGTGTCTCGTTGCTTGTTAATACTGTTTATGTGTTCATATCTGAGCGTGCAGGTGTTTGTGTTGAACAATTTTGTAACATTTGTACAAAGCCTTGTTAAGTTAACCTTGTAAATATAAATATTATGTTATCATATTTGTTTTTTTTAGTTCCTTTTTTATGGTTTACAAAAGTGCTAAAAAAGTGCACAGTCATTTCTTTCAAGATGTTACTTGAAATGTTTCCCTTAATATATTCTTTTTTTTATATTCAATATATATATTATATATATTTTGTATTAAAGTTTAAAAAAAGTATGTTTATTGTGATTTCACCTCTTGGGTGTACCTGTTCACAGGGGATAAGATAAACCTGTTCCTTATTTCCTCAAAGATGGCCTTTCTCTCTGATTCTCAGCACTGTGCAGCAAACTGTTATATTATAAGATAAAGTCTTATAAATAAAGTTCTCTGGTGACTATACTTCCAACAATGTTGCATCAACATGTACACAAACGATCTACATGTAGCAAATAGAAATCTGGTCATTACTACAATATCATTTGAAGGCAGCTACACTTTGATAGCTGACCTCATTGTTTCTGTATGTCTGGGATGTCTGAGCATTGCCTCTTCAGATCTGCTCATATTTGCTGAGCTCAAGACAAAGAACGTTCTTTCTTGTTAAAGAGAAGCTTCGGGCTGTTTATCAGGCTTTGGAAATATTGTGTAGGACATACAAGTCGCTACATTTTCACCTCTGTTAAGGGTGATCTTTGTGTTTCTCACCACATACCCTCCGAGGGTTCATCTCTCTGCAGGTGTATTACCTTGGGGCTACGTGAGGAGGAGTTCTCCATAAGGTCTGATAAATCCTCCCTGCCTGGGGGAATGGTACATTTGAGGAAAAGGAGTACAGAATGAATCTATTGTTTTCATCTGTCATCTCCATTTCCCATTCAAACAGGAGGTGCAACTTCCAAAGTCATGGGACTCGCTTTCATCCGACCAAATAACCCAGTGAGAAATAATAATAATAATAATAAATGATGAGTTATAGTCTTGTCTTACCTCAAGATTTTTTCTACAAAGTGCCTGATTTCTGGAATGTGTTTTTGTTCTGCAGTGCCATGGTCTGTTCTTATCTTTCCGTTTCCTTTGGTTCGTTCCTGGGTCTCCGCCCTCCTCTCCTGTGGTTGATGGTATAACTAAGGCACTGACCCAAAGATGTGTACATTTAATACAAGGGGTCTAATTGTGAGGCTGTTATTTAAAATAAAATAATTAAAAAGCACACGTCAAGCCAAGGACATGTCTATGCACTCTCTTTGCCTTTAACACAGGCATTAACAGCTATCACCACTGCTGCAAAGAGGGAAGATGCATAGTTCTCTCTCAGCTGCTTTTTTAACAGATCGAGGTCCTATCTCTCTGCCTAGTTGATCCACAGTGTGTGAATATGGTACACCTTACAAGCCCTACCCTGAACCGGCATTAGCTCATGTCAGACAACAATTTCTTACAGATAAACCAACAGCTCAAGAAAACTCAACAAGTCAGTGTGTTGTGATTTTTATCCAATGTCTCGTATTTTAAAAATCGTTTTTGTACATACTATCTTAATATGTAACATATTGTATTGTGTACATTTGGAATTGCTTTTTGAGTATAACTAATATGAAAATGACTGGACTTAAAAAAGGTTGTCCGCCTGAAACCATTTCCCTCATGGCTGTGTGCTTTAAAGCAAGGTTATATGATGTAAATAAACAGAACTATGTTTAAAGAAAAATTTTCACATGTGTTTTTGTTTTTAAGGATTTTGTAACACTAGCCTAGGGAGAGTGAGGCTCATGTTTAGCAGCAGCAGCAACTTAATATAGCAGCTGAATGCCGCCCTCTGGAGGCTGCAGTTAGAAACGTCTCTCCAGGCCAAATGGCACAGATTCCCTCTGCACAAGAAAGAAACTTCATCCAAACTACTGGGGCTCTGCAGTTTAACTTATTCATAGGTTCATATGTATACAATCTGTTCAAATTAGTGATACTAGGAATATATTGACACTCGATAGTTAAAGCTATAATAAACACAATTTGCAACATTAAGCTTTTATATTGTGTTGCAAAAAATCCATTAATGCATTTAATTTAGCAGAACATCCTCAGTGGATTAAACTCAGAGTGGGTTAACCTTCATAAAGAGCATCTCCATCATATCCCATCCCCCCACCCCCTTCTGCCATGTCCGTGCATTATTCTCTTCAAGGCCCATATCTGCCTGGCACATTTCGGGGTCCTTTAAGGAAAGCTTTATGATTATTGGTTTTGCTGACAAAGGCAAGTATCTTTGCACACTGCCGCTTTGAACCACTTCCTGTGTTTTAGAGCAGCCTTTACAACACAACAAAAGACATTTCAAGGTTTTATTGAGCTTATGTTAACACACAAATGTTAGAAATATTAACTCCGGAATTTATTTTTGCAAAACATTATCGGCGAGCTGACTCAATAAGCTGTCATTTGGTATTCAGTTTTTGGAGGAGAATGCAACAAAAGGATGTTGTTGTTTTTACTTTAAAAAACGGAACAGTTTATGTCAATGGACAGCTACAGAGTTGACCCAGGAAAAAAACACACATATTCTCGTATTGTCAGATACATTCCCTTTATAAAAAGAAACTTATTTTGAAATATTTACATTTATTCTTGGAAAACAAAATTTGAACAGGCCCAAACAGAAAATAAAGTATTGCATTACAATGCAAGGACACGTCTTCCAAATGACAAACTGATTACAGAAAACTGATGACAAATAATAAAAATAAAAAATCAGCAGTCCCATATGTTACCTTTTTGAGGGGGGTTTTTCCCCACTTCAATTGTGTCCATTACTTTGTAGCGACCCTGTCATTGCTGGGCTGGCTCTGAAGGAGCTCCGTGTTTTGGGCCCTCAGTCTCTCCAGCTCCTTCTCCATGTCTCCCAGCCGGACCAGGGGGCTCTCCCCGGCCGGGCCCGCGGGCTCCACGGTGCGCCGCAGCCGGTTGTTCTCCTCCTCCAGCCGGGACATGCACTTCTCCAGCTCCAGGTACTCCTGCACGAGCTCCTGCTTGGTCATATTCTGCAGGCTCTCGACGTGGTACATCTCGTAGGTCTCAGAAAAGTCTCTCTGGAGAAACTCTCCACCTGCGTTTCCAGGTCTCCCGATACCGTCGCTGCCCCCCCCGCTGCCGTCATCTTCGTCCTCCTCCTCGTTATCAAATAAGTCCTCCTCGCTGCCCGTGTCCTCCATGCGGGTCCCGACCCCTGAGGTCCGTCTGACCCCGGTCTCGGTGTTGAGGTCGGGCTCCTCTCGGTCATGCTCGTCCATCAGGAACTGGGTGGTGTTATAAGGGGCCACTGGGAGCCCCTTGGCGAACATCTCCTCTCTCAACCGAGAAGCTCTGGCCGTCTCTTTCTCCTCCAGGGCTTTCCTTTCGTCCCAGTTAAGTTTGTAATAAGGCTTCCAGTTGCGCTTCTTCCTGGAGGTCCTGCGCCTGTGCCTCTTCTTGCCCAGACGCGCATCCAAGCCAGTGTCAGAGTCGATATGACTATCATCTTGCACCTGGTTTAAAGTCTCTCCCAGTGGGCTATCTTCGCCGTTTTTCCCCTGCGCGATGTGATTACCGTCACCCGCTGCATGGACATCGGGTTTCTGATGAGACTGGGCAGCAATCGGGCACTTTGAGAGCTCGTTTCCGGCAGCTGAGGCAGGGCACACCTCCCTCGGTCCGCCTTTCATTTGCCACAACTTGTCTGTGTTGATATCCCCACACTTCTCCGCCCGCTGCTGCTGCTGCTGCTTTTGGTCTCTCTGTCGCCCCCTGTTGCCGTTCTCTGGTCCACCACGGCTTCTGGCTGGGAGATGCTTCAACGCGTCTCCGCTGCTCCCACCTGATGGGCTGCCGAAAGTTTTCAGGTGAAGGGTCTGCTCCGCTGGATCTGTCATCCTGATGTTCCGCTACGATGGTCCCACTCTAGTACATTTTAGATCATGTCCTCTCCCTCAAAAATGATCTTCAAAGTTCGTTAAAAGACGTTAAACTAAATTTTAACAAAAATGTATGTATTCCAGAATCACCCAAAAATCATTAATAAAGGAAGTCTACGTTTTGACGTTTCAAAACAAACTCTCGCAAAATTAAAGGAAACTTCTCTACAGTAAACACTTGTTACTCCTCCGAGGGTTTGTCAGAGCAACTGCCGCTAACTACCATTAACTGTTTCGATGCTGTCAGGGCTATCTTTCAGCGGGAGACAACGTTTCACCGTCACAACAGTGTCCAGTGTGCTGCTCAAGAAGAGGGAGCTCGTGTTTTTATAGCAGCTCCGCCTCTCTCCGTGCGCATGCAGCTGTTTGTTACGCGCGTTGGATTGTGGGATATGTTGTTTTGAATTCAATGTAGCACTGTCGGAGGCCTACAAACCAAACTACATATTCCACAAGTCTACGATAACTGACGAGGATTTTAACCAATCATACGGTAGACTCTTGAGCGCGATAAAGCCCACCCTTCTCTTTGTTGATTGGACAAGAGGGTAACTTTGCTGTTGCTAAGCTTTAAGTATTTTTTGATTCGACAATCCATGGGTCAATCATAAGTACGTAATCCACACCAAGAAAGCAGTCCGGTACATTTTAAGGATGGTACCATCTACACAATAAAGGGGTAAAAATACTTAGTAATGAAATATAAGTTAATTTAAATAAGTTTAAATTACATTTGAGTCGCTTGGTCTAATTAGAATACGTTAGACGTAACTACATATGTATTATATGTCCTTGCTGCCCTCACAGTATAAAGCCGAATTATAAATGAAATAAAAACCCTCCTGCATTTAAAGCAAAATAAAGAACCCCGCTTAGGGAAACTAGTCCGTGTTTAATGTTCACACAAGGAAATAAGTAAAAAACAACTTGTGTTGAAAATGCAAGTATTTTTCATGTTTAAATGTATCGAAACGCGTCGTTTTGATGATATTACAGCCTTAAATGATTCATTATGACAATTATGTGTGTTGTGCGGAGTGATACGTTGTGGGACACAGTCTCGGCGAACTCGGGAATCAGCGTAAACAAACGACATTTATTGTCAAGCTTCCGCTCCGAGTACATCTCAGAGCCCCTCGTTGTTAAAGGGTGGGTCAGGCGATCTAACTCTTGCTCAATAATCCTGTTGCCAGTGGACGGAGTTGTGTAGATCAGTTTTGAGTTTTTCTGCGCAACCCACCCATGTTTCTGATATGCAGTGTTAGTTTTACACTGGTGTGTCGTGTTAAAAGCTAAGGCTAAGCTAGCTAGCTAACGTTAGCCGAATGTTAACGTTAGTTAGCAAATGATAGCTGCGTTGTTTCGTTCCCAAACTAAACACTGCCATCATTATAAAGTGTGAAGCCATACGCACTAACGTTAGAACAAAAACAAATACACGGTGTTGTTAGAGCTCGACGATGTTACAACGCAAGTTATTTCTAGCCAGGGCCAGTGCTACGTTAGTTGTTAGTTTTAGGTTTAAGCTCACAGTATGAACTTTGCCTCACATTGATCTGTTGGGGAGTTTTGGGGCTGTGTTGTTAATCTATTGAACTTCAAAGAATTGAGATTGGGAATTCAAAAATGACCTTAAAAAAAAGCCAGTGCTACGTTAACCCAAACGCCATAATGTACATAAAGCCAGGCTAACTAATGCTAAGTAATAAGCAACAATGGATCGACAACCTTAAAACAATGATTCCTACCATCAATTTTTTCGATTAAGCTTTAGCGACTACGCAACAAAGTATATAAATACAACCAGCTATTGAAGTTGCTAACGTTAGCTATCTGCTAACTAGGCCAATGTGTTTATCCTGGGTCAGCGTAATTGCTGGAACGTTATGTATCCCGTGAGGGTTCCTTACTACAGGATTACGATTGATTTCAACATTTTAATTATGCCATTCTGTCAGATTAATATATACTCCAAGCTATAAAGAAAAGTTCAAATGAAAAAATAGCATTTGTTCCTTATAATCCGTGAACTGGAACCCTCGATGAACTAGTTTAGCTTCAGGAAATAGACGGCCCCAGATCTTGCAAGGCAGCCCTGAAGCTTTCCTTTCGTTTCAAATTTAGCAAGCCCTGGTTGTGATTTACACACAACTAACAATTGAATCATACATTTTCAACAACTTTTCTTTATAACCTTTGTTGTTCTGTGTAAAATAAAAATAAAAAGCTGAAATGAATTACTCTTTGAATTAATTTTGTATGGCAACCTTGTGGTATATGTAGCCTATTTTATATATTTATATATATAAATATCTTATTATTTTTAAAACACATAAGCCTACTTTGGAAATGTCTAACGGTTCCCTGTACAATTGCTAGTCAGTATACTGAACTTAATATTTCACTGCATTTGTCACTAACTATATCCTGCACACACATATAGTTTCTTAGCCTAACTTTTAGGCTATAAATGGAAGAAATTTTTTTGTTAGTCTGTGACCCCTTATGGTGGGTCTCCTAACACAGATTGACTTAGAATCCAATGGCTGCAAACAACACAGGCCTACTGTTTCTACTAATAGAATCAGGCAGGGTTTCAGCTCTGGAAAATAAGCAAGCTGAGCTGGGAATCCTTTCAGGAAGACTTGATAGCCTATGTTCCAGTCAATATGAAGCCTAACGACTGTGGGGATTAGGAAATCATACTAAGTTATCATGTTATGTTTTTTGTTTTGTTTTTTTAAATCAAGGAGCATTG